AAAAAAAAAAAAAGAAGAGAAAGATGTTCAAGGAGAAAGACTGATACAGTGGTTACAACAATGGACTCAAACACAGCAACAATTGTGAGGATGCGCCTCATTCTGTTGCACACAGGGTCTCAATATGAGTCAGAATCTAACAAGAAAAAGGGATGAAAGAGGTCAAATATGAGAAAAGTCAGACCAAAGACGCCAGTTATATTAAGTGACCAACTTTCTAGAATTTTTTTTTATTATTATAGTGCAATCATTACTTAATACAACCCTTGTAGGCACTGTCTTCGTAATTCCCACCAAATGACTAAATGGCCTAGGCAAATGAGATGCTGGTGGTTTACCCAAGGGAATCCAATAGCTTGCTAATGATGTCAATAAGGTACATGACTCCCTTGTGCGTATGCGACAATGCAAATCAATTGTACTGATCTCTAACAAGGGGACTGTTCAGTTTTATCATCCGGCTTAAAAGAGTCAATTCTAGTGCCAAGGACAGACTTCATATCTACCAAGAAGGAAGACTCAGGACCTTTGGACCCAGGACTCCTGCACTGAGAATCTCTAAACTGAGGAGACAGAGAGCTGTAACACCAGAAACAAGAAATGGCAAGAGGTAGTGAAAGAGCAACAGTAGCAGCAGAATCAGTAAACCAACAGTAGACAGCACCATGGGTTTCCTGGCTCACAAAGAAAACTGAGCACCTTCAAGCAGGAGGCTTGCTGACAGAGTGGGGTGTCCTGAGGCACTTGGTACAGCTTGACTCACTAACGCACTCATCAAGATAGATGAATATATGCAGAGAGTTCAGTGTCTTTGGGAAGGAGGTTTGCTGGCAGAGTAGGGTGCCTCTGGGCACACACTTAGTCCTACAGAGCTAAAATGCTTTGTAAGACTTCCAGAACAGAGCAGAGACTACAGGGCTGTAGGACTGAGAAGACTGTCTATGTGCACAACTGAGAAGCTATCCTGTCCTAATTGAAGAACTAAATCCTGAGTCATTTATGATCTTGAATTGTAATCTACTACTTATCTAATAAAACTCATAATCATGAATATTGCATGTGAGTTAGTTCCGTGAGGGCATTGCAACAAAGCATCAAACCAACCCAGCAGAAAAGTAGAGCTTGTCATGGTTAGTTGGTATTAGAATTAGCGAAAGACTAACCTTGTCCACTTAATAAGAGTATGTTCATAACAATAGTTCTTTTTTTTTTTCTTCCTTGTTATGCACTGTTGAATCAGATCTGACTGGCACAGGAGGAGACTGCCCCTCCTTCTCCTGCAGAGCATACAATAGTTTTTATTGCTTGACAGGATAATTCTTTGAGAACAAAAAATTAAACCAATTTTTGTTCAGCATCATGTACAACACCTAGTTCATAGTAGACAATGATTTGTGAAAGACCAAATAAATGCAGCATTAAGTTATGTTCAAGACATTGTTCAAGATCCTTTACCTAAGTCACTTCATTTAATATTCAGCCCTCTTTTTAGACAAGGAAACAGGATCAGAAAAGCTAGGACTCTGCTCTGCCAAAGCCATGCTATTTTAAAACAAAAAATCCTTCCCCAAAACATTGGTTCAGTCTCTAACCTGGCGAGGTCCTTATGTTGAGAGTCTTATTGAAATTATCTTTGAGTGCTTCCGTTACAGACTTCATTTCTTCATCCACTGCTTCCAAGTTGATTACATCCTCAACCAAAGAAGCATTAATATTCACTCTGGTTTGGGATTGTCCTTTTCCTTTGGCTGGAAAGTCAACATTTGGTGAATAAAATTTTAAGAAATACAACATAATGACAAAAGATTAAAATTTATTGAGCAGGTTTGAGGAGACTTTATAATTAGGGATACTAATCAATGACAATGTTCTAAAACAAAATGTCTATAAAGAATTGCATGAAAAAGCATTGTGATTTGTAAATCTTCACTCAAATAAAAAAGAAACATAATAATTAAAAAAAAAAGAACATCAGTTTAGACAGAAACAATAACCAATCAGCTATTAAGTGCCTACTATGTACAGGGCAAACTGTCAAATGTAAAAAAAAAAAGATAAAACATTATCACTCCCTTGAAAAAGAATTTATATTAATTTAATGTTAATTTGGTACTAAGCAATATGAGAAACACATTTGGGAAGGGACAGGGTTTGCAATTAGAAATTCTCAAATATAAACCATGGCATGGATATGATGCATATGAGCTTTATTATCTTTACAAGTTACTCTACCTTTCTAGTAGATTTGTTTACCTGTAAATAATGATACTATTATACACATACACACATATTGCAAAGATGCTACAAAGATCTCAAGTGATTCAAATCTGCAAAAAAACATTATACAGCATATACTCCACAATGAATTAATAACTTAATTTTCTAAAAAATAAAAAGAAGACAAGAAAGGTAAAGTGATCTTCTTAACATCACAAGGTCAGAGGTGATGTGACCTGCTGAGTATCACAAAAGCCAAGACGTGGTCCCAGATCAACCTAAGTTTAAACTCCTGAATGTTTCACTAGACTAGACAGCCTACAGATACTCTAAGATACAGGAAACATACTGGATCACTTAAAAATTAATAGTAGAAATAAAGACCTGCAAAGAACCTGATAATTGGACAAAAGACTCAATAGTAGTTTAGAGATACTAAATACTACTACTACTACGACTAGTGACAGAGAGTTCTGGTGACCTAGTGGTAGGAGTTTTGCTGCCAACACATAGGCATGCAGTTCAAAACCACTAACTGTACCTCAGGAGAAAAATGGACAATCTCGTCCCACATAATTTACAGCCTCTGAAAATCCACTGGAAGGTCAGCTATAAGTAGGTTCCAACCTGACCACAGTGAACGACAAAAGCTTATATTTCTGAAAAGCAACAGCAGGGGTTTATTTGTAGGAAAATCAGCAGCATTGGAAGATGAATAAAATTAGCACATGTCTAAACAATCACCGTGATTTTTCACATACATTTTGTAATGTACATAAATACATACATCATTCCTATGATTGATATAAATATTCTTACATTTCTTTATGGGTGGTGGGGGAGAAGAACAAGAATAGTGAAATAATATTACCTTGCATTATTAATCACTGAACATTCAACATACATCAAGATTAATTTGAAAATTACATTGTGTATCTATAGTGAGTTGGATCTTGCACTGTTTGCATAGCATTGTAATTTGCAATATAATTTCAAGTACATTATTTTACTTGATATTCAAGGCAGGAAAATATTCTAGGATAGAAAGAATAGTGATTACAATTGTCACCAATAGATAGATGAGAAATCTTAAGAACAAGAAATGTTCAAAGTAACCAAACCAGTAAGAAGCAGAGTGACTTTTTTCCCCCCCTTTTAACATTGCCTGTTGTCTCACCCCGTTGCTTGAAACTCTGCTGATCTTAGGACGACTTAGACTTTTTCAGAAGTGATATAAGATATGAAATTTCAGATTTAGAAATACAAGTTCCAAATAAAATAGTAAAGTAAAATCCTTATCTAGGCATCTTGTAAATATAGAAAAGCAAAGACAGAGATCTTCAAACTAACCAAAAGGAAAGAAAAAAATTAGCAATAAAAGATCAAAATTTAAAATTATAGCATATTTTTAAGAACAAAAGAAGCCAGATCTTTTAAAAGATGTTGAAAGAGGGGAAAAGAGCAACCTATAATTCTATACCAAACTAAACTATTGTTTAATAGTAAATGAGAGCTTAAGGGTTTGTTTATTTAAAAAAAAAATTAGGTACAGGCTTTTGCTTTAAATAGGTGCTCTGTGGCACACTGTTTAGCTTTAGGTGCTAAATGAAAAGTCAGCTGTCTAAACCCACCAACCACTCCATGAGAGGAAGCTGTGACAGTCAGTTCCATAAAGATGACAGCACTGGCAACCCCGTGGGACAGTGCTACTCTGCCCTATAAGGTGGCACTGAATTGGAAGCAAGTCAAGAGCAATGGATAGGTGTTCTTCAGGAAGAAAGAAACTGAATGCACAGGCTACTTATCTTTCTTCCCTGCAGATGCTAGTAGATTCAAACCACTGGAGATTCGAGGCTTTCTGGTTCAAAGGGCAACAGGCTATGGGCTATGCCACCAGAACTCCTACTGAAGATATAGAACAATATTAATAAGGCAGGGGTTTCCAGTGGCCTACTGGTAAGCAGCTGTGTTGCAATCCTGAAGGCATGAGGTTAAAACCCACCATCTGCTCCATGGGAGAAGGATGAGCAATCTCCTCTTGTGTGATTAACTGTCTCTTAAAACTCGCTGGAGGGTCAGCTATGGGTGGGTTCTGACTTGATGGTACACAACAACAACAACATTAATAAGACAGTCTAATATAATTAATGAGCTTAAAAACAAAATGGAACTAAATAAATAATAATTTACAAAATAAAGGAGAAAATAATAAAAGCTCTAGAGGCTCTCATATGCCCTAAGAAAGAGATATTGATAAACTTTAGACTTGAAAATCAAGCACCCATGTCAAAATCTGAAGTTACATCCATCAATATTATTGTTAGGTGCCACTGAGTTGGCTTAGTCTTCCAACAACTCTATATACAACAGAATGAAACAGTGCCTACCTGATCTTGTTTCATCCTCTCAATCTCTGCTGTGCTTAAGTCTGTCAATATTAAAGTAGATAAATAATGAGATGTTCATGCACTAAAATATTATATAGTCTTGAGAAAGAATGAGCTATCACTACAGAGAACAATTTAAATTAAACTCACAAATATAATGCTGGACAAAGAGGTTAGCACAAGAAAACAAACCCTGTGTAGTACAAAAACAGACAAAACAAATCCATGGCAATAGAACTTAGAGTAATTGTTGTTGTTGGGTGCCACTGAGTGTGACCCATAGTGACCCTATTTACAACAGATCTGAATCTTGTCCCATCCTCACACTTTCTGACACACTAACGGCCACTAAAACAGTCACTGTCAGTTCACCTAGTTAAAGGTCTTCCTCTCCTCTGCCTTTCTGGCATAATGTCCCTATCTAAGGAATAGCCTCTTTCCTAGCAACATGCCCAAAGTATGTGAGACAAAGCTTTATCATCTTTGCTTCTAAAGAGCACTCTGGCTGCACTTTGTCCAAGATATATTGGTTCATTCTTTTGGCTGTCTGTGGGATGTTCAATACTCTACTCCAATACCACACTTTAAAGGCATCAATTCATCCTTATTCACTGTCCAGCTCTCAGATATATAGCAAGTGATCAGAAAGACCGTGGCCTGAATCAGACTCACCTTAGTCCTCAACTGTTATCATTACTCCTCAACAATTTGGAGAGGTCCCTAACTGCAGTGGGTTGTTGGGATACTACTGAAAGCTATGCCACCAATGTGTCAGATGCTACAAGGGTAACCCATGGTGGGCAGGTTCTTGTAAAACTCTCAAATTAAGACAAAGTAGGAAGTAGGATAGAGAACTGGTACCTGCAAAGGAAGGTGGAAGTTACTAGATGGGAATAAAGAGAATTTTTTGTTTGTTTATTTTAGAGAATTTTTTTAAGTACTTGAAATAGTCTCGTTTTTTTAATCTGGTGAATTTCACCTTGTGTGAAAATTATTATCCTAAGTTATAATCTTAGGATAGCTGTACATTTTAAAAAAATAAATTACTTTTTAGAGCAGTTTCAACTTAACAGGAAAAGTGTATGAAAGTAGTATTCCAATTATATTAAGATTTCTATGGTACATTTGTTGCAACTGATAAACCAATATTAACACATTTTTATTAACTAATAGTTAACATTAGGATTCACTCTTTGTAGTGTGTGTGTGTGTGTGTGTGTGTGTGTGTGCGCGTGTGTGTGTGTGTTTTGTGTACCATAAACTTGGAATCGACCCATCAATGACCCTCCAGTGGGTTTTCAGAGGCAGTTAATTGCACGGGAAGAGAGTGCCCATCCTTCTACCACAGAGCATCTGGTGGCCTTGAGCCACGTGCCTTCCGGATTGCATCGCAGCTTCTTCCCACCAGGCCACCAGAGATAACTTTGTATTGATAGTCCTAAATACTCTGATATGAACATATCCTGTGTTCACCATTATTACTACACCACAGCATCAGTGCTATAAAATGTGGAGTGTTCTTTTATTTATCCCATCCTCTCCTTCCCATGAAATCCTAGAAACCACTGATCTTTTTATTTTCTCTCTATATTTGCTTTTTCCAGAAAGTCATACAATTAAAATTATACAATATGTCACCTTTTTTTTCTCCAGGTTGTTGTTGTTGTTATGTGCCGTCGAGTCGTTTCCGACTCATAGCAACCCTATGCACAACAGCCCTAAACCCTGCTCTATCCTGCGCCAACCGC